TATCTATCTATGTCTATCCTTCGATCCCTTGCTTTCTCCTTGTCACTCCAGCTAGCGGCGGCATGCTTCTTCCCCCCACCCCCTTTTTATCCCTCATCCGGGCCACTCTTGTGTTCCTTTATCACGTAGATCGTTCTTCGTTTCGTCGAACACGAGGCAAAGTTAGCCGGACACGTAAGTCGCCGGTCGTTAGTCGCCGACGACGATAGCTCGTCGGAGCTACCAGGAGAAGAAAACAAGAGAAGCGAGACGGGGGAGGGAGAGAGGCGGCGGGCAAAACGGGGTGCGGAGGAAGTAAGAGGGGAAAAAGAAAATTCCTGTGTACCTATTCCAGTATAGACCAAACAGAGACAGACGGGAAGACAGACAGACAGACAGAGGGAGAGAACGAGGAACCATTTCTGTGCAGATTGTAAGCTAAGACAATCAATAAGATCGCCGGGTCCGAAGGAGCTCGTGCTCGGATTCGTCGAGTTGCTTCAGAGTACTTCCTGCCAGGGACCACGAGACTCCACCGCGTTTAACAGCTAAGTCGTAGTCTATCGTCGTTAAACGCAACGTCCCGAATTAGGATCCCCTCGGGAAAATGAACGAGAGAGGAATGAAGACGGGCGAGTGAGTTGAAATGGGTGCAAAAAGAGAAAGGAGGCTAGACTAAGGGCGGGGAATTAGGAAGGACACCGACGGGATTTTATGGAAGAAAAGACGTATAAAGAGAGAGAGTTAAATAGTAAAGGAGTGGAAAAGAAGAGTTGGTAGCAACGAAGGGGTCGATACGTACTCTAGTCAGCAGCGATCGGATAGGTCAGAATAGACGGGGATAGGCTAGGATAGTCGCAGCTAGAAGGCGTATATGTGTACAGAACAGCCAACCAGCGAGGCCCCGTTTCGGGGGTGCATTCCGAGGCTCGCACGAGGATAGTAATTTCTAGATACCAACCACTAAATTCCGACGATCAGTCGTCGTCTCTAGCGGTGCTCAGAAATTACGATCTAAGATCTGCTCGCGATTACCTGGCTTCGTTCGACCTTCGTACTAACAAACCGAATCCCAGGGATGAATCGATAAGACGGAACGGAAAGGGTTAGGTTAACTGAAAGAGGAAGACGAAGAAGAAGATACAGCAGGAGGGACCTTTTTTCTGCTTTTTCCAGGGTGGAAGAAAAATCATAAGGCTGCCCTGCCCGTGTAAATGAAAGTATGGGGAGAGGTGACAGAATCGCCGCTCTGGCGGATATTGCCGGAACTGCGAATTATCCCCATCGGGGCTTACCCGCCAGGGTGCACTTCTTTCGGGGGCTGTTTCAATGGAGGGTTGCGAGTCCTGGAATGGTCGAACTGGGCCGTGACACCAGTCGATAAGGAAGACAACCTGTTTAACAATGGCTTCCGGGGAGGGAATACAGTAGCTCCTAGCTGCAGGTATAGTTGTTATTCCGGGAAAACCATTACCCCCTGCATTACGACTTTTTCCCACAAGTTACGTACACCAGCACACTCGTGGCAATCTCTCCAGTAGTTTATTTACAGCGTGTCGGGAATTCAAGGGGGGGAAATATTGCGCGTTCGATTCAATTTTCTATAAATAAAAAAAGAGACGAATATTGAAATTACAAGGAGCTAAAATTGAAGTGTAGAGAAATGATTGATCTCTGGATAGAATCGATAGGAGAAAGTTCTCTTAAATTAGAATCCTATACACTGCTCGTTACACTCTGATCCGATTACTTATTTACGCGAAGAGGAATGGAAGGAACGGGTTTGAAAACCTGATTCCACTTCGACAGACGTGTAACTTTCACACGACAAGATAGTTTTCAAGGGAACTTATATCCGAGCCCCTTAATAAGGGTAGAAACTTTACGGCCAAGTTTAAAACTATAAACCGACTCGCGCCGGTATCGACTCTTCCTATATATTTCCCGTTTATCTCGTCCCTCTTTTTCATTTGTCGCGTCGAGGGCGAAAGAACCTTTGTTCTATATTGGATATTTTTACAAAAAGAACACGACAGCCGTCGGATCGACATGTGTACGTGTGAAACGTTTCAAAAACGCATCGGATCGTGAAATTCCAGCGAGTCGGAGAAGAGGGTGGTTTCAAGATCGAAACGGCTGTCCTACTTTCAGTAAAAGCATTATACGGACCTACATGCGTGGATTCGAAGCAAAACATTTTTTCACCCACCCTTTCCACCAGTCGGCTGGCGTAACTAGAAAATGAAAATAGCTCCTAGCGTTTCACGAGGCCACCCAACCCCACGCCCCCTCTAGAGTATCCTTCGCACCCAGAAACGTCCCAATTGTTTCACTTGCTACCTCGTAACGTATCCTCCCGCTAACTTAATCAACTCTCCGCGCGATTCGCGTAACGAACGATATCGCGGGAAAAATTCTTTCGAGAAGAATCGAACGTGCAGAGCGTAAGGGTACGCGTATTTCTATCACGCGCCGCTTACATTCACGACTACTCTGTGTGTAACTAGGGCTGCATATGCATATGCTACCCCGCTCGCCTCCTGCATATATTCAATTCTGGAAACGTGGGGGACAAGCAAGTCACTTCAGAGAGCGATAAAGAGGGAGGCCTTTGACGACGAAAGAATGGAACACGTGACGTCGAAGTTCAGGATGAAAGAAGGGAAGAGGAAGAGAGGGAGGAAAAGAGCGGAAGAAAAATTATACGACCGTGATAGCGCGCACCACTCGTAAGCTGGATAAAAAAAAAAAGAGTTTCAACGAGGTCTCGGTAATGGATCTTTTCTTTTTTTTTTTTTGCTCAAAAGTTTAACCAGATTCCTGCCTCCGGTGTGACTCGGACCTTGACGTAACAAAAACAGAATGCGAGCCTGAAAATGGGCGCTTTCGAATCGAACCGAACCGGCGAGGGAAAGATAACCTTGCGCGTAATTAAATCGACGGGTGAACAACTATTCCCGGAGATACACAAGTCCGTGGAATCGACAAGTATCGGCGTGTAATTCGTAAAACACTTAACGTTTCTCCGCTCGCACCCTTGCTGAAACTTGCCGTCACGTTGGTCGCGCGCGATGCTTTTAAAAAATTCATTAATACGAAGCCTCGGAGTAATTGTTTCCCCTGTCGTAGAAGTTAATATAAACTATGTATAATTCATGCGGGCTTAAATAGTTTTGATTCCGTACGAAATTCGATCGATGAGAGGCTCTCATTTAAAATTTAAATGCGAGACTTAAAGGGGAAGAATTAAAGAGCGTGCGCTCGTTGCATGAAATCCAACCAGGAGGAGAGAAAGAGGGAGGGGTGCTATATGCGCGGAATTCCGAATTTTCCCTCGTTCTCGTTGAAACGAGACGGAAAATTCCGGGGAAAAGCTGAAATAACAAGGTAGATTCGCGAGAGAAAAAAGGAGGAGAAATAATTCACACACGTGTTAAACGGTGTGCTCGCTTGTTCGCAAAATGCTTCACAACTCTCCAGGCATAACCTCTGTGTATATTTATACATATGTATATATAATATATCTGGTTTTATTTCGTGTCCTGAAATTCACGAAAAACTTTCGCCGCGTTGTATCTTCTTAATTAATCTACCGATACACAGAGAAGAAGAGGGTTCGTCGTGTCGTCACGTGATTACCAATTTGCTAGAAAGTTTTATCGCCGGGGGTTTTATCGCGTCGCGAAAAGCTGTGTGCGCCACGTTGGAAATATTCTTTCTGGAATCACGGTCTTCTAATATCGACTGTTAAGGGGGGGGGGGGATAGTGGGAAAGGGTCGGTGAAAAGATGATAAAACAAAAAATTATCGTTTCGCGTGTACGTGCCTCCGTTTATCGAGCTTGTTTCCAACGGCACAAAGAACACTGCCTCGATAAAACGAGAGAAACGGGGATGAGTGTGGGGCCGATGGAAGGGGGAGAGAAACATCGTGTGTCCCATTTTCTTCGCAAATCAACGCATTTTCCTCGTTCTCGTCGATCGAACGTGATACATATAACCAAAATCGCGTTTTCCATCTCCGTTTTCCATCGTGGCGAACGAGCAAATATAAAACGATTCGTGGCACGAGCATAGTCGATCCACTCGCAAAACAGAAACATAAAGCCTCGTAACTTCATAAACGTTTCCATCGACTGGAAACTGACGATCGTAACAGTACTAGAGACACCGAGAGGAAAAGAAAGAGTGAAAGAAAGAAAGAGAGAGAGAGAGAGAGAGAGAGCTCGTTTCCTTTTTGCAGCGCATAAACAGCAAGGTAAATGATTGCCTCCTGAGAAGAAGTACACTCGGATAGAGGATTGGCAGGAAGGGGGGAATAAATAATTCACGGGAGGGATCGGCCGGTCTGTCAAAGGTAAAAGCAAGTAACGGCGGAAGTACTTACCGGAGATGGGATCCGCGCCATCGAGCTTCCTGTCTAAGGAGACGTTCTCGTGTGCAGCCTCCTTGCTCGTCCTTGGACGACATCCAGAGTTCGATTCACCGGCGATCCCTTCTTGGCTCTTGTGATCGTTCCTTAGGTGATCGTTCCTCTCGTTCGACTTCGTACCACCCCCGCCGGCCTTCGTCGATGTTTTGTTACCGATCGCTACGGTGTTCCCGTTCAGGTTCGCGTTGATGGTGTTACCGTTGGTGGCGGAATGATTGTCGGCCTGGTGAAAAATGTTGGACGTCTTCTGTGGAACCTTGTCGTTACATCGCAAGAACTTTTCTAGCCGTCACAATGAAACATTTAAACAGAACAAATATACGTGGAACGTAGATAGAAAAAAAAAGGAAGCAACAATCTGCTCTAACATTTTAAATGCCAGGTCTCTAAGTGGAGAAGACAAAGAAAGAAAGAAGAAGTAAAAAGAAAGAGAGAAAAAGTAACGACGCTTCTCTCTAGTTCGCAGAGAAATTCCCCTATGTTACGTGCAACGTCACGAAAGTTAACCAATAGGAAAATCCAATTTCATTTGGTCCAAACCGCACAATGAATTAATCGACTCACCGTGGTGGTCATGCAGGTCGAGGAGGATGAGCGTACGACGACGATACGATTCTGATTGTGATCATTGGAGGCAATCGTGGACACGGCGGCGTGATTGGCGAGCCCATGGGTCTCGTGAGCGTTATTGGATCCAGCATTGGAATTGGTGTTACCGGTAGCGACGTTACCACCGAGGGAAGTCTGCCTGATCACCAGAACACTGCCAGCCGGCTCCAGCACAACTACCTGCCTCATCCTCAACGTGTCCACCGATTTTTTCCTTTTCCTCTTCCCTTCTACTTCTTCTTAGCTCTTTGTTGCTGTTAACCGACGAAGAAGGAGAACGTGCACAGGTTGCGCCAAGATCCTCCTTCTTCGGCTGATCCAAGTATCCGACGGGAAATGCGTTCTCCAGCCTCCACCCCTCGGTTCTTAAAGCTCCAGCGCGATTGCTGCCACCTGCTCCTCCTGTACACACGTACACCAAGATACCCGATATTAAAGCTGTCGTCTTAAAGGATGATCCTACTTCCATCCTATTCCATGTCACGGCCTTCCTCTCTCTCTCTCTCTCTCTCTCTCTCTCTCTCTTAGAAACGTGTCATCCGAGGCGTGTACCAGAGTGGCTTCTTTCGGAAGGCAAATCGATGAGATTATTTTGCCACTCGTCTGTGTCTACCTTTGACGATCGCTCTTTACAGCCCGTTTTACTAAAGTATGAGTAGTAACGCTTAACGCGGGTACCACTGCCTTCCCCTTCTACCCCGCACCCTGATTTTAAATCCCTCGCCTTTCGACGACTAGTAAACATCCGATGCTACGAGCTCGCAGATTCGGATATCGATACTTTCCACAGGATTTACTACCGAGTAACAGAAGAAGAAGAAGAAGAAGAAGACGAAGAAGTATCTCGAGTAAGAATAACTTTGGATTGTAACAATGAAAGCACAACACGAAGAGAAACGGTAAAGAAAAAAAGGGCAGGAGCACGAAATACATTAATGGCAAGTTGTCACGGAGGATTTCATGGACTCATGATGGATTGGCTACAAAAATAAGAACATTTGAAACCGCTCCAAATAACGTCGCGATATTAAGTTCTTGGATCGGAAACACGCGAGGGTGTTGCTGGTATCCAAAATCATGTCTGAAGGACGTATATCTTTTGGAATTAATCTTCCCGTATACACGACAAATTTCGTTCTTTTCTCTAGCTACCCTCTATGGGATACTTGGTAATTGATTGAAAAATCGCAGATTCATTCGTCCCGTTGCTCTACTCCGAATTCTTCGAATAATTCTTCGCAAACCCAGAGATATACAAATCTGCGTAAGTACCTGCAATTCCATTTTTTATGACTTCATAGCTAGTTGGCTATACGAACTTGATTCTAGTTGGCAGCCATTATCATACATGCGATTCTTGGCAGCCATTATCGTAGATTTAGCCAGTAAAACTGAGTCAAAGTCTCGAAAAACGGTTCATGAAATCGGAAACACAAATCGGCCGTGCGTCTGTCTCGTCCCGTTACTTTCCCCTGAACGGTCGATCTTTCTACGGTTTTTGCATCGAAATTCGGAATTAGAGAAAAAGGAACTGTACAATTATGAAACGCAATTTCGCCTGTTTAGCATAGCACGATTGTGACAACACGTTCGAGTGTCCTACATTCGTAGATTCACCGATCGATGCGGTGCTTTGTGTGTTTCGTATTCTAAGACAAACATCCCCTAATGGTATCGATTAGCCTCAACACACTTTCGATTGTTTCGCCGACGAATCGGCCGAAAGTTTCGAAATCGCCTGGAGAAGTTGCTGCTGTTGGAACGTCGAACGGTACTACACCTCTGTACTTCTCTCTAAAATCGAGGGAGGGTGAAAGCCGATAATTCACAAAGGAGGCACCATCTACTCGGAATTTCGTCATCCCCCTCAGCCCTGTCGTATATACACTCTGACTTCGCGACTCATCCCGACGACGGCGACAGTTACTCTCCCTTTGAGAACAAACTTAAGTTACATTCGCCGAAAATCGATCTTGTTCCTGGATTTTAGCTAAACGCTACCACGCGATTTCACGGTGCTTTGTTACGTCGTTACGATTCGTAAGGTGGTACTAGTAAAGCACGGATCAAATGAGAATTAATTATGCGCGTTTAATCACCCCTTCTAAGAGAGGGGCGAGAGCTAAACTATGAATGAAACAATGCGAAGGGGTTTGATCACGCTTCCTGCAAAATTTCCCTTCTCTCACTCGAAAGTCCATAACGACTAAGTACTCGAGAGAAGAGACTTGTCTACTCGGAATTTCATCATTCTCCACACCCTTCCTACCCTCTTATCCTCTCTCTCTCTCTCTCTCTCTCTCCTTCTACCTTTACTGCACTTCAAAGTTTGGGATTCACCTTGGAGACAGTTACTCTCTTGCCCTCCACTTTCAGAGCAGAGACCTAATTCCCCGACGCATTTCAACCCTCATAAAGTACAATCCCACACGGGAACGTTGTAATACCATCGTGTCTTAATTAAATATTACAGAACCTTCCATTCTATTTTGCCAACCTACAATACTATACAACAAACTCTCTCGATTTTTCTTCGAAATTACACGTGTAGTAGGTGTCTATCACTGAGAGTAGTCGAGCAAAGAAAGAGATCTATCGACAGGGAATCAAAGCTACGACAGAAACACGCACTCTTATCTTCCCCTATTTGTTTGACCGCGAATTAACCAATTTAATAGACGATCGAGCGTACCGATCATTCCACGACAAAAGATCTCCGGAGTCGTCTATGAGAGAGGCACGTGGCTGACAAAGGGAGCACAATCTACCGTGGAATTTCGTCGTGGTTCCCTCGATCGTTCAACCATCCTCCACGCCCTTCCGGCCTGTTACACCGCCCTTCCCCTCCCCAAACCCTCTTAATATCTCTCTCGCTCGCTTTAACTTTGCGATTCACCTTCGAGCCAACCGCCCTCCCTTTGAGACGCACTGACCCAGTTTCCTTCCTCCCCGTGAATCGGCAAATTCGAGGCATGAATTTTGAAAAACGGCTCTCACGCTACTTTTCAATAACGTACCGGACGCGATACTTTCTCTCCGATCGATCCAACAATTTCGTCTTCTCCTCGTTATTTTCAAACGCCGTCTTTCGCGAATATCGCGCAAAATTCGATCGTTGAAAGGGGAAACAAAAAACACGTCGACCGGCTTCTAGCGTGGAACAGAGAGAACGGACGTTCTCGTGGCGTTCGTGTATAATCACGATCAAAGCGATATTTTTCGATGACGTAGGTGTTCTTAAATGGACACACGGTTTCACTCGTCCGGAAGCTCTAATTAGCCAGGGGAAACGTTGCGCAACACACACACTGTTCACAATTCCGCTAAACAAGATATACTTTAGCACGCAAACGCCGCTGTTACAAACACCTGAAAACACCTTTTCCAGGTACACGTTTCTCGCTTGCCGGAGTGTGTGTGGAATGCCGCCGATCAATTCCACGTGTCGCGTGTCAGTTAATAGAACAGCTGACGGGTTTGTGCATTCGAGAGCACACGTCCAACAAGCTGAACAGGATAATTTATACCGAAATTTCCTCACGCGTTTTCGATGTCGTTTCGCCGTTAGATTACAGGTGGGGCGTGTCAGTTAATAGAACAGCTGACGGGTTTGTGCATTCGAGAGCACACGTCCAACAAGCTGACCAGGATAATTTATACCGAAATTTCCTCACGCGTTTTCGATGTCGTTTCGCCGTTAGATTACAGGTGGAAGGGAAAAAGAAAAAATTGTGGAAAGTTGGTCGAATAAAGCGTGTAGGTATAAACATCAAGAGGAAGATTATTTGTTTAGATGGGAAACAAAGCAACTCCCACGCGTATACATGTATATACGGCGAAAACTGCCGGCAAAGTGCGTTTCTTTGCTTTCTGGTCGGGATGCAACGGTTCGGCTTTATATTCCTTCCATTATTTGTTTATTCTACCTTCGAGAGACGCCGACCTAGTTTTCTATGCTACACGAGCGTACAACAGGAGCAGCAGGATGGACTTGAATTTTGGAAAAGGACCCGGTCGCGCGCCTGTATTTCTACAGAAAAGGATGTTATTCTTGTTTTTCCCTTGAATATGTATGCATTTTTCTGCGAATCCGGCACGGCAGTCGAGCTTACTGGCTGGCCACGAAAATTGTATAAACGAGACGTTCGCGGAAAATAAGTTGAATTTAAATCGGGGGAAAACCCTCAACTTGTAGACTCACCGAGTATGTTCTTTTATTAGGTGTACAGACAAGCAACGCGCGTACTCTTTTTTCCCCTCCTCCGTCAGTTTTCTTCCAAACGAATTTTACTAGAGAAGAAAGAAAGGAAAATTGACGAACTGAATTCTAGGATGAAACGGATCGATACGACAGCGACAGCTTTGATAATTAAATTACTTCTCCAACGACAAGTGGGAAAATTTGATTCCGCCACGTGCAGCAATTAAAAATATATGCATCGCGTCGAATTAGTGCGTTTCGGTGTACGCGTTGATTCAGCTCGTTAAAGGCGGGCATAATTTACGTTGATATTAGCTCACGTACAAGCACAAAAACGTTCGCCTGCTTTTGCGGCGTTTTCCTAAACAAGCAGCATCTCTAGACAAAGTTCGTGCAACAACAAAAACGAAAGAGGAAGAAGAGAAAAAAAGGAAAAGCGAAGCGTTTTAGCTGGTGCAAACTTGTTTGCTTTAAGTATGCCACGATGCCCTCCCCCGTGTTTGCCACACATTTCAGTTTGCCCAACATTAATATCCTGCAGAAATGCACACAGCATCGTGACTATCTCCGACGCTTTTCACCACCGAAAGACTATTACCGGAAAAGGCAACTACTTCCCCCGGTTTATTACCGCATAGTCGCGGTCTGATTTCGTGGACAACCACATTCTCGCCGCGAATTTCCTCCCAGACCTTCGTTGTTATTCGCGCAAGAAAAAGTGCCGAACGTTAACCTGTATAAATCGAAAAATGAACATTTCACACGTTCAAGGTGCGCATTAAGTAAAAAATTTTCAAACCGTCGCGCACTGCAGACGAAGAATTTCTCAAGCAAAGTCATCGCTCAAATCTGTCGAAATTCGGTTCGAAATTCGCGAGGAATTTAGATGGTAGTAAACTTTTGGCCGACAGTGTGCATACGGTAGTCTTTGAAAGTGGAGATTTCAAAAGAAAACGTTCTTCTAGCGAAGTTAAGTACGTTGAAAGGAACATCAAAGCGACTTTTTAACGTAGCTTTAAAATTCTAACGAAATTCGCTAGATTTTTCCACGGTGTACACGGCGGAAGATGCGAGAGAGAAAAGGAAGAGAGAGGGTAGGTGACACATGCTCGCAGGCATCCAAGTATACCTAGGAAGCAGAATCCCCTTTTTCAAAGTCGGCGATAACTTCCGTGTGCGATACTTTGAAGAGCAAGGTGGGATCGTTCACCAAGCGACCTCGAGGTCTGCCGGGAGATATGCGGGGTGTGGCATCGAGGCAGCCCTGTGTCGAGAAAGTGAAGGAAGTCGTCTCGTAGCCGCGCGTACGTTGTCAACAAGTACATACGTCGAAAAATCGTGCCGCCGACGTATAAACGACGGTTGGGAAAATTGACCGAGCTGCTTGGACATTACTCACGGCGAGGAAGTGCATTGTGAACCGGCAGTAAATAAAAATACGCGGGCGAACCAGTAAATCCCACTTTTGCCGAAAACGTCGGGACTACGTGAGAGACGACAAATATGTTTGGCGTCGAGTACGGAAATCTTTAGTGGCGTTGAAAATAATCTTCTTGTTTCTCTTAACAGTGGAAATTGTAAAATCTCGTTTCTCGGTTAAACTAAAAAATTTAACTAAATAAATTTTTAATACTTTGCCCAACGCTGGAGACAAAGGGCATTGAAAGAAGGTAGTTTAATCCACGTGCGCTCTGGTGATCGATCGAAAGAAATTCATCTTTCGACAGTCTAATCTGCTAATTGAGTTTGCAAGCGCGATCACTGTACATGCGTTACGACGGTAACGTTAATTGGCCGTTTGTAACGTCGCAATGGTACATTAACGGTGATCGCGTTAAGGGGTGAAAATCGTGTGGAAACACGGCGATTATGGGGAACGTGAATGGCCAGCAGCTCGCACCGCCTCTGTTTAACGGAACGCAAAAATAGATCGGCCTTTTCGAGCAACGCCAGTTTCCAACAAATTGCCATTAACCCGCTCAATCACGTTTTACATCGTATTTTAACAGTTTTTCTCTCCTTTTTCTCTTTCTGCAAATCATTCCACGAGAACCGCCGAGCGCTATTTATATTCGACACACGCTTCTCTCTCTCTCTCGTGTCGTTGCGATAAAATAAACGTTATTGCAAATCGAAACGAGCGGAACACGCGCACCGAAACGCATTTATTTCCGTGGAACGAGGTGGATGCATTTGTTAGATTTTATACGCGTCGTACGCAAACAAGTCCGAGATACGGTGTACAAGGTACGTTCTATCAACGACGCAGGAAATGATAAGGGATCGGCGTGTTTCCGCCTTCGAACGATATGGAAAATGTTGGGTTTAACATTCGCCACAGTGTTTGAAACGTGAAGAAAGAGAAATGTAGCGAGCAATTAAGTAACTTTTCCTCTTCAACGTCCTGAAACAGCTATCTGTCCAATTTAAGTCACACCGTGCACCTTTCTCGAACTCGACCCCTAATTATCTTTGTTTCAGCACCACGTGATTAGCAACGCAGCCTTCCCTATCATTGATCCAACGTACGTGCACCGAGTGCAGTCGTGGATTTTCGCTGTAACATCTGGTAGCCTGGCTACCGCAGGGTATAAAGAGGAACCTGGCCGAGGAAAAAAAGAACGAATGTTATCGAAGACTTAGCGTCCACTGGTCGATATAAATGAGCACGTTGGCATAAAACTATGTGGTTGAACGGGACGCGAATAGTGCCGCGAGAAAGATCTTTACTATTTATTTCCAGCCAATCGCTCGAGAGTTACACGATTGGCTGTATTTTTCTGATTATCACTCGATACGAGAGAGAGAGAGAGAGAGAGACCTTGGGTCGAAGAACCAGTTGACGAACGACTCGTCGTGTACAAACGCGGAATGATTTATCCGTCACAGGTCGAAAATGAAAAAGGTAACAGAGAGGAAGAGCACGTGGCGCAGGAACGAAATGCTAATTCCAAGGGGGATCAAATTTAATGTCTCTCGTAGACGATGCGTCGACCTAATTCCTTTAAATAGAACATATTGATACCTGGGAGAGTACTAAAAATGTACACGCCTTGTCTACATTCTTGAAAAAGAAAAATCAGAAGGTTGCAAGACAAATCGTTTGCGGTTCGTCGTCGTATAAACGATCCAGCGATTATAGGCTGGTGTTGGAGATTATGGAAGTGTTACCTCTACACACACAGTTCGAAGATACTACCGTGGCGAGGTGAAACCAAGTATTTCCCACACACACCATGGGCTCTCGATTGGATTTATCGATTTAACCGGGTCTAATCCCGCCGATGATTGAAGTGAGCCTGAGCGTGAAACTTTGTGTCTTTAACGTACTACACAACAGGTATCCCCCGTATGTGAATGCACCGACAGTTCTATTATTATCGTTGCACGTGCCGCTCTATCGGCAGATAACCGCTATACACAATGTTCGATAGTCAACCTCATACATAATAGACCGTCATATTTATTTGCTTTCTAATGCTGCACATGTGCAAACCCTGCGATCCTCCGCACTCGCCATAATTTATATGGCGATAGTAACCGTTCAGGTGTTATACGTATAGTAGCCGCCTGCGCTATTGTGTACAATTTCTAAGCGCCCCACAACGTGCCAGATACCGACACCCGGTTTATGTGTTCGACTCAACAAGTCCAAAGAAGTCTCTGTTTACTTTTACTTGCATTACTCGTGCCAAGAAATCTTATACATATATACAGCTGAAACGTGGGAAGGGAGAAAGTGTGAGAAAGCAATTAAAGAAAGGAAAAATATAGTTAAAGACTCGTTTATATATGTATTGTAGGTGAATAGTGCTTATTTATAATAACTCACAGAGCGGTCCAACAACGTGTACAAGTACCTAAATAACTCACGAAACAGGTGCACCTGTCTAACCTGTCCTCTCTGCACAGAGAGAGAGAGAGAGAGAGAGAGAGAGAGAGGGGGGGGAGGCGGAACACAAGACAATGCTCGCGTGAAATTGATCGTAAAGAATGGATAACGGAAGTGGCGTTTAAAAAGTGCGACAAATACACTCGACCGTTTGTCGTTTTCCTTCTTTCTGTTTTCTCTCACTCCTCTAGAGAATATTCAGCCCTTCCTTTTATCGCACGGTGGGCGCGCATCGGGCGCAAGGTTTCCTTAAACAGAAGATTACAACTTGGCTTCTAAGTATACTTTGAATCGACCAGCTTTTCGCCCCTAAGGCACCACACCAGCCACGCTCTGCCTCTCTCTCTCTCTTCGTTTTGTTTTTTAATATTTTTTAAATTTCCATGCCGCCCCGAATATTGATTATCGCTTCCGATATAGCGCGATAAGACGAATTGATTAAGTAAGCAGTGTGTCGAAAAAGAAGAAGAAAAAATAGAGTAAGGGTAGCTGGCGACGACGACGACGACGACGGTGTTGGCTTAATGGTAACAATTCGATGCACACGAAGCCGTAAAGGTGACTAGGCATCGGTTACGACAGAATAGCGTAGTAGAACCACAAGTGGCAGGAAATACGTATAGTAGCGTTCTTGATAACAGCTGATTACGATGAGCTCGCCCAGACGCACAATGGTCGTCGGTTTTAATGAATTGCACGCTGACGTTTCGATACAGGATGTATTTATTAAACACACGCTTCACTATCAATTTCCCGCCAAAAACTAATAATTCATAACGATACGTATCGTTGCACTTCGTACGAGCTGTCAACAACGTGACGAGACCACCATTTCCTATCGAATATCTCACCGACACTTTTGCAAAGAAAGAGAAAAAAAAACGTTTCACATTCGTGACAGGAATACACCAGTTCAAAGTATACACAATTAGGAAAGGCGTTTCTTTTTCTTTTTTTTTTTCCTCGTCGCAACAAAACACGTGCCGGTGAAATAATGAAAATTGTAAAATTCTCGGTACCTACGTTTATATACGAGAGCTGCAGGTTTACGGTATGCACTAAAAATAGCGGTACCCATAAAGCGACTCGGTGAGAATCGCCACGAGACTGAGGCCTCGAGGACGTGGCGTATACAATTCGTGACCGCGCTGTAACCTAAACATCGACGAGCTACACGAGAATTCCAAGAATTTTGTTACGCAGCAAGAAACTGTACCGCGATCCGAAATGAAAAACACGAATAGAAGAAATTGTTGTGCACGTTTCGGAAATTTCCAGCCAAGACCTTAGCTCGTTCCTCGATAGTATAACGCAGAGACAGCGTAGAGAACGGACGTTGAAACGTGTCACGGAATCGTGTATCGTGTCGCTTATCGCCTACGAATATCTATTTTATCGAGTGAAAATAGAACGTTGTATCAAATACTTACGATATCTGTGCTCCGTGTGACAGAAGGACCGTAACCCGTGCGTTCGAGAGCGTTCATCTTTGTGACGATTGTTTACGCGGCGGCGACACTTGGATCAATGAGATATCACCACTTTACCACCGGCTCATAATCGTGCATTACTTTCGTACACGTATCTCTCGATGTACCGTTGATTTTCACGCATAAATTCGTGTGATCACGCGTGCCTGCGCTCGCGGTCGATCCTTGGAATCCATGACAGGTACGAGCACGGGTATGGCCGCGAGCCGCATGCGCCAAAGCAGAAGTTATCACGCTCTGCCACCGAGACAAGCGGGTAATATGTAGATGAGAAACTCCGCTTCGAATTGAAATTTCTCTGCCTCGAGTCCACGCCGGTGATGAAATCGTATTCACTTCGAAAGCTTAATTAATCCAACAGATTAAAACTAATTAGGACACGTCCCTTTTGCCTCTCTTTTCTCTCGTGCACTAGCGTTCGTGACAGCGTACAATTTGTTGCGTGTCAAATCAATTACTCGCTCGATTACAGGAAAAACGAAATTTCAAAAAAACCAAACAATTTCAAGTAGTTGGTAAATTTCGAATTTATTTTAGATTTATTACATACCTGTTTCTTCTAACGATAGATGGATTATATATTTGACAGTATTTTTAATTCTGTCGAATATTATACGTACTTAATTCTTATAATCTTCACTTCCGGTTTATAATTTTATTTATAATTATTGTCTTTTCGTTAAAAACGTTAACATATAAAGTAGCAATTATTACAAACGTGATTTTTAAAAATAATCATTTTATTCAACGGTACGAACGGAATTAAATAAATTAAGAAATACAAATGTAAATGTTAATACATTTGATTGATTTCAAACTGATCGATATCGACCAATCAGGGCGCTTAGACAATTGCAACTATTCGACTTGCGCGGTTAAACTCTAGTTGCAATTTGAACGAAATACGTTAGTTTCGTTTTGCCGGGAATTCGATCGAGTGTTGTAATGCAATTATGAGTGCAATTTTTGTGGAACAAGTGCTGAAATCTGAATTCTGGCCCATGTCACTGCAGAACCAGCTACGAATGGTGAGTGTATGTAATTATTTGAAATTATTACGAGAATTGTCGAGAAAGAAAGTAATAGAGGAGATTCTGGAATGATGCTCCGTTGCGTTTTATAATTGATTTCGAAAACAGCTCGTGAAGACTTGATCGATCGTACGTAAAATAGTTATTTTCGCCAACAATTAAAAGTCAAACGCATTTTTACGTGTTATTTTCGTAAAAAAGATTCCGTGAAATATTCGAATTTGCCGGAGGTGTTTGAATATTTGAAAATGACCGTTATAACTGCTCTTTCTCGACCATCTTGATTTCTCATTTCGTCGTTAAATTCAAATATTCGAATCAAAAACTTCGCAGTATAGAAATGAATCGTTTAACAATCAATATTACTGGAAAAAGTAATAACATTTTAAATTACATACATACTTTATTATGCATATGAATTTTTAACATAGAGAGACAAAATTATTCCTTTACAATGAATCAAGACATTCTCTATTCATTTTTCATAAATGACAACAAATATTTTCAATAACTTCAAGTTCATTGAGCGCATTTTAGAACCATTCGTGATGTTTGGCAAATTACTTCAAATTTTCTTGCCGTATCGATACCAAAGGGGTCGCGATATTTTTCTTCTATTTCGTAAAACGAATGAAAAATTCTACGAACATAATGCATAATGAAGACATGTAATACTGCACAGTACGCGTACATACGAGATTAAAATTCAATTCGACGCATGGAAATTACACACACTAGCTTTCAGAGCAATGTGGAATCTTATTAAAATTCAAATAGAATAAAATGTTGTACAAAAAATTCTTAAATAATATACACCACGAAAAAGTATAATACACGAGAAATCAGATGACTGAAAACATTGGCACAAAAATCTTTCCCTCTTGGTATCCGTTCTTTCATTGCCTAGCCGTTTGTCAGTTAATCTGCGCATTTCAGAAAACTGCTCTTTAAATATGCGCCGCAAAAAGATAATTTTGCGAAAATTGTATTTATGCATTGAGATTACTCATTTACAATTAATGCGATGATTATTAACATCGTGTCTCGTACAGACCACTTCGACCTATGTATCTCACCCATTTTATAACATCGTGGTCAGAATAGTTCAATTTGGATTCAAATACTTTCAAGTAGCGTACTTTGAATCCAGATGGAGCGAACGGTACTTCGAAGTTCATCGATATCGGTGGTCGAGTCCATTTTTTCTTCGTATCAGTTTCAAGCAAATCGATTTCGGCGGATAATTGAGTCTCCTTCATACCAGCCATGCGCTTAATCTTCCATACAATTGCATTTTCGGATGCTTTGTATTTCGCTTTCCCTTTCAAGCAAATCAATTGTACTCCTGCAGTGTTTAAAGGTGTCGGTACTCTAACCTCGATCTTTTGTCCTAACAAAGAGGACTTAAAGTTTGACTTTAGTACTGCTTTTACTTCCATCTTCGTACGCCCCACTTCACGCACCAATGGAATCACACGGAATGGCAATGATATATCCTTAGTTGTACGATATCTGTACAAAAATTGCCAATAAACATTAAACAATTGAACAGTTTGTCGAATTTCTCAGATTTTCAGTATTCTCTTTAAGCATTTTTACCTCATAAGCTCAAATTCTCCATCGGGAGGTATGAAACTGATGGCATGTTCTGTTTCAAATTTACTAAGCTTGACACACTGATGAAATTGGCAGTCATCAATTACAACGACAGGTTTCCCAGATCTAGCACCAGTAGGATCATCTCCTCCACCTCCCAGACCACTTCCACCTTTCATACCTTTAGCCTCCATAACAATTTTATCGTTGATTCCAAATTTGCATTCTGGCATTCCAGACAAATAAGATTTCATCACAACCTAGTGTAATAAAAATACTAAGTAATTAATCCTTCAAGTATTCTAACTCTTCAAGCTCCTATCTTAAATAACAACCTTCCCAGCAACATGTGCACTCAGCACTTGACCCTGAGGGCTCATTAAGAGATTCACATATTCAAGAACATCAAGGAATAATTCATTGCGTCTGTATTTAATACCCTCCCTTCTCCATCCAATTTGGCCAGTTACTTGGGAAGTTATTTGGGCTTGTTCTTCTTTTGTTGCTGATTTCACTCCTTGTTGAGTAATGAATGTCTTTAATACACCTGTATCACAGTTCTGAGGATATCCAAAGTCCAAAATTTCTAGACAAATTGTAAAATTATTTTTTAAATATTAAAATCACCAAATTTTCAACTTCCTCTTATAGAGTACATTGCAATACTAACCATCCAACAGTTCATAAATTAACACAAAGTTATTCTTGATGTTCTCCTCAGAAATCTTACCAAAATATGACTGCATAACATCAATAATTTTTAATAAAAACTCAAACACCATTGCTGCATTAACATTTTGCTTGCTAACAGCAGCCAACCATATATTAGCACGTTTTATGTGAAAGAATGATGTTCTTGCAATATTAGTAACAGGGGAGCGTACTTGTTGCCTGGCATGGATAACATTCACACGAAATGCATCAACTGCATTTCGTCCAATGTCATCTCTGTACACTCTAGAGATGAGTACCTCTCCCTTATGGTTATACACAAATAAACCCCCTATCATTTTGACAGAGGGTACCTTTTACTGTTTCAACTACAACCAATCTATGAAGAAAACATTTATTTGTTATTAAATAATTTCGAAATTCTCAAAATATACTTATAAATGATATAATTTTTAAGATAAGATATATTTTATCACACGTTAAAAAATAGTGCCAGGTAAAAAAAATTATAAAAATCAACCAATGTTGAAGACGATTAGAAGCAAAATCATCTTGAAACACTACTGTATGTACCAAGTCTATATGAATGTTATAAAGATTGTCTTTGAATCAATTGAAGGGAACATTATCCGAAAAAATTAATATAAACTTCCTACGTGGCATACTGAATTAAGCAATGAAATATAAATATATATGCAAAAGATAACGCCCCTTTTCTTAAATGACATTTGAGGTTCTCTAATATGTCTTGTAAACGGTTAGTATTATTGATCGGAAATGAATGAGCGGTCTATACCGCAGACATTATCGTTACCGAGGTTTCTTTCAAAATTATAGGATGCAAATATTCATAAATCTGAATATCAGTATTATAAAATATCACTTACGCATGACTCTTATTGCGAATAATAAAAATAAGCGATACTAATTTGTATCAGCCTCCGAAACGTACGGTAACAGTACCAACCTACTGATACAAGTGTGAACTATCAAATGACGAAAGCAACACCCACTTCTTTCTACTACGTGTCTCAGAGACAAATACGATTACAATAAATTGCACATGAAATAATAGTTATTTCACATAATGCACAGCGATATGCTGCCTCAAAGTTTAGATTCATCTAACCATGGTTACGCTTGTAAATATCGTAATTGTACGTTTATAGGGCAAATAGGGTTGTTGTATTGATTTCAAAACCGGTAGTTGTACATTTATATGCGTAATCACTATAATAAAAATATTAAAAAATGTATCGAATCAGATCTGTAAACAATTTACCGGTTAAACCCTTTTTTCCTGCGCTAAAAATAATTTTTTATTTCTATCGATCGTAGCTCCCTTAGTATCACAATACGGTTAAGGAAATATACTAATAAGACGGTCGTATACTTTTAACGATTTCGAAAATTTCCATATTGTTTTAATTCGTGTCCCTGCATACTATATATTTTGATCGTACAAAATACAAAGTCCAATTACTTCTTTAATTGGTATTTAAAAAAAATTCTTATACTCAGAAGATAGTATATCAAGTGTTTATATCAACGCCTGCGCGTTGTAATACCTTTAGATGCATGTGTACCCAGTATTACAAAATGATTTGCACATTAAAATACTGAACACCTCATAGTTATGAAATATTAATTAAAGTGGTCACATTTGTAATAATAACAATGGCCGACCAAGATGCAAATAATAATAATCTTCCTTTAAGAGAAAATTTAGTAAGTTTTTGCCATTCGTAGGTTATACTATATACATTTAGAGGTCTTAATATTTTTCTGTATATTAAGAAGTTTAAGTGTACCGGCCTCGATGAAAGTGTACATTGAGCGGTTACATAAGTGTATTAAGAATAAAACAAATTATTATGTGGACTTAAGTTGACAAAGACTTTTCCTTTCAGGTAAAAACTGCAGTGGAATTTTTACAAAATCCTAGGGTACAAAGTAGTCCTGTAGGACGTAAACAGGAATTTCTTAGGAAAAAGGGTTTAACAGAGGAGGAAATTAAGACCGCTTTTGAATTAGCTTCTGTTGATAGAATGGTTGATCAAAATGTTGTTCATAGTTCAAGTGATTACACAGTGGTTCCTATTCCACCACGCCATATGTATTCATACCTTCAACCACATCCATACCAAATAACTCTTTTTCACAAAATTAAAGAATTCTTCAATGCTACTGCTTTAATCGGAGCTACTATATATTGTGTTTATTGGTTCTACAAGGTATTATCGTATGTATATGGTGCAAGTGTGATGTTGAAATTATGCAAGAAATTAATTCAATGCCATTATATTATAGAGATTCATTGAACCATTCCTATTTGGTCGGAAAAAAAATAATAGTATAAAAGACTCAGTCACAAAATTAGATGAAACAATTCAAAATTCTATGAAAGAAGTAAAGCAATCAATTTCAAAAGTTGAGAGTGATGTACAAAAGTTGACACAGAATCAGTCTATTGACCCAATGATACCTCAATTATATATATATATATATATATATGTGTGTATATATATAACTACACTTTAATATTTTTACATACTAAAGTATTATTAGAATACAATATATAATCAACAATTTGTATAGTAACATTTATTGCTATACAAGATAATTATTTTGTTTACACATCATTTGCTATTTAAGTTTATACATATGTGTCTTAAGACATACTATTTTTTTTACAAAAGTTTTCATTATTTCGTTACTTTTTATGCTGGCTCACACACATACAAACATATATATATTTTGGATTCAGTCATTCAGATACATTCGTGTAGAGATACAAAAGTAAAAATTTTTGTTGGAAAAAAAAAAATATGTAACTATAAAATACCTCGATCAATTTTCGATTACAAAAAAAAATATATAAAAAACACAGACTCTACATTTAGCATTATTCTATCATTTCGTATCACGAGAAAATGAGATACGGTTATACAGTATAAAATTTGTACATAGAAGGTCAATGAATTTACAAATATTCGTATTTACCAAGATTTCGAATTTTAAACAGAAAGCAATTTCCAAGCGTACCGGCGTCTATACCATCTATATCTATACCATCATGGCAATTAGATGCTGCAAGTATAAGTCAGGAAAAACCAACTGAACGAGAAGATGATGCTGGAAGTGGAAATAGCGCTAATAACTCAGATAGTTCTCTGGAAATGATCCGTGAAGATCCACCTAAGGTGTAAAATTAGGATAGTTCATAAACATTCACTTCCATCATAACAGTCTTCGATATGCAGATTATTCTGTGATGTCTATTAAAAAGAAACAGATGATTTTGATTACATGTAATATATATCGAGAGTCGACGTTCTTATAATTATTGTATTATTGATTTAAATTTCATTTCATCCAATTCTATTTTAACTTTGTACTGTAAATTTCAATTAAAAATCGTTTTTATTACTACAAAGGGTATTTAAGGCTGCTTATCGAACAAAGGATACATGTAACGCGTTGTTTTTTAAGCAATATTAAATTTTATAAATGGTGGTTGTTACTTAATCCTTTTTTTAGAAAACCCTAGAAAAATTAGAATCTATTCCATTTCGATTTAATTAGCATCGACGTTTCATCCCTGCTTTTAAAGGCCTCACATATTGTTTAATCATTTTTATGAAAACAAAATAAAAAAAATGTAATATAAAAAGTCAAAATGTTTTTTTCCTCTTTCTTTCTTTTCAAATAAACGATACTCTGAATGCGAGAACACAGTGTTGTTCGCAGCATTGTTTCGTTGCGTAACGCAAAAAATAATCTATGTAAAATAGTTAACAATACATTGGGAAAGGTATAAAACCAAAAATACGAACTACCTTTACAAACTAAATATGTACATTTTAATCCGTACTTAAAAAGATAAATTGCGATACATAGAACCACATTAAGCCATGGACTACATTTATACAACAAATTTTGTTTTGTTCCTCTTTCTTTCTTTTTTTCGTCGTTTGTTTTGCACTGTGAAATTAAGAAATTAGTATTTCCTCGACATATACATATAGTTGCATGTATGTGTCAACAAAACTTACATACATGTACATACAGGTATATTATGTACAGAAAGACGTTATTTTATTGAGTATGGTGGTGTAATCCTGCTTTTATCCTATATATCTATTGCCCATGGCTATTTCTTACTTTGGGATAAATTGATAAATTACACATTTAATAATATAAATCCACGTGAGCAACTCTCGTTTGATATACGTCAATAAATAAACAAATGTCCTCAATTACATACTAAATTTATTTTTGTTTTTTTTTTTTAGAATAAACTCTATCATTGTTGTTTCAATTTTGTGCACATGGGCATGTTTCTTTTTTTTCTTTTCCTCTCCTCTCAATCTCTCCAGAAATTTGTATAATTAAGTAAAACTAACATTTATATATATGTATATACACATATGTATATATGCATATAATAAATATTACGTAAAATTCACATTCAATGGCTTGATTACACTATTCATTCACTCAAAACCAATCATTCTGCAACAAGTACATTCCTCACTTGTAATATGTACAAACCACATAATATATTCAATATTACTTTTGGATGATTAAACAATTAAACAAAGTATACAGCTACATGTATGATTATATCCTCTCACTGTTACTTTATTCGTCTATTTCTTGACGTATTTAACATCGTACATTGCATTTTAAATAATTCTAATATCTTTCTCAAAAAATCTGTTGTAATCGAATATTCGCCTCTTCATAGTTCTTTAATACTTCTTTTTCTTTTTCTTTATCATTAGGTATTATTCAGGATAGCTGCCTCACTGATACAGTGAGTTACAGCAAAGTCCATTTAAAGTGTGACTTAGTACTTTTTTTACCTTTTCTTTTATACTATTTGTTTTCTCATCATGTGTGGCAAAATACTCAAAACGTTCCGTATATCTTCACTTAGAACAAAATTATTTAGAGTGAAATATACAAATCTATGTTACCACAAAATCTCGATCTTTGGCAAATACATCCTTTTAAGAAAACACACCGCGCGTGTGTGTATATGTGTGTACGTGTATTCGTGTGTGGCGTGTGCATTTATGTGTGTTTGTCTGTGTGGTGTACGTGTATTATTGCGCACACATGAACATAAGGAAAATATACCAGGATATTTTGTGCTGATGCAAATAGTTTGGTTGAAGGTCCCACTCCCTTTTTTTCTTTTTTCTTTTTTTTTCTTTTTTTTTTTGTGAACTTATTCGCTATGGTTCCGTGTTTAACGAGCGTAGAAAACGAGGACAGGGTCAAGAAGGATCATCGTGTCGTCATTCAGACAGCATCCTATGTCTATTACCAGTAACAATAATAATCCTAGATTAAACACGCTAAACTGTTTTTGCAGCTCGATCTCTAATAAATCTAAATAATAATTAATCCGGGCTATGCTACCAAGTATGATGTAAATGTAAATTCCTTGAAAGAACGGACCGCACGTCTTGTGTGAAACGTAGTGCATCCAAAACTGGAAGTAAACTTAAGAGAGCAGTGTCTCCTGCGTCGCTAAACCACGATTTTATTGGTATTGCATTATCTGCGATAACAGAAAAGAAGGATAAACATATAAAAAAAAGATCTCATTTCCTTGAAAATATTTTACAAATCAGTTGTTTCTTTCTTTTTTCATTTATGTTTCCAAAAAAAAAGAGAAATATCAATCAGGAAATTATAGTTGCCCAATAATAACATCCAAGAAAACTTTATTGCTGTGTTTAAAAAGCAATACTTCTTGTTGTGCAATACTTCTCAAAGCTCACAGTTTAGTGTAGAGTGTGAATTGTTGGCTATAATTTTCTTGGATGCTGCAGATGAAGAAGCTTTGTTTAATATAGAAAAGTAAAGTCTAATTTTTAAAACTATTGGTACCTGATACACAGGGAATTATTTAAAAAAAAGTGATTTAAAACAGTCGAAATTAGTTCAGTGGCAATTCGACGAAGTGTCCAGTGCTTATTCAAGTGGAGGAGCATTGGCAACTGAGCATATTTTACATCTATCCCACAGGCCTGTATTCAGTGCTTGCTTACAGAACATCAACGCTGATAGCTGCAAATAGATACGATTTTCAATAAGACTTATCTGAACTACTGATCTCGTTATTTGTTTATCCAGCCAAACTATGTAAAATGTAAGTCTAACAGCTAGAAACAACTTGAAACAAAATCATAAAATATGCCAATGTTTTCTCTCATTAATACAACATCGTTTATTTAAAGTAATTACGACAACAATAGCGACAACAATAATAGCAATAAATGGCACGGAAATGACACGTATAACGTAAACTTGACAATTGAAATTAAATCAATTAGACAATGTTAAAAACAATATTTTAAGCCATAATTCTGGTGCTTGAAATTATTCTGTAAAATAATTCGATCGAAGAACAATTCGGTTATTAGCGGCCGCATAAACGATGTCGACGTAATTCATAAAATAATATATTATATAAATGAAAGGAGAAGCAGAGATACCCAAATCCCCTAGAAATTATGACCAGTTTAAAAAACGTTGTGCATATCTTTATACGAAGCATACGAACATCACAGTGTACATGTACAATATTATTTATGGGCAGAATTTCGTCATTAACTTGATTAAGAATTATGAAAGAAACGATTATGAAACATTTATTTAACATTTTTAATTTAGGTAGATATTGAATTATTCCATTACTCATAGTTGTGCACATGTAAGCAAGTACTGACTACAGGTCGTGATATATATGTATATATGTAGTACATGATACAACAACAGCATTTGTATTTATCAATGTAATACTATGAATATGCATATTAAATTCACACACATGTATTACCATTTCATCTTTTATTAATTACTCGGGTATGTAAAAGACTTTACACACAATTATTGCTGTATCATGCACACCAGTACAAATTAAACAATTTTACGATACACGATTTTTAGTAGGTATTAAAAAAAAAAATTGTTTAAAATATAAAATCATGTTAAATCAGACAGAGTTACATCATAAGAGCAATTGAGAAATTAACGTTATGGCATTTGGGGTAAAGTAAATGTGTCTATACTCACGAGGATAAGCTCTGTAGGCTCCAGGACTATTATCAACTATAAAGACTGATGCTAAGTCTGAACAAATTGCAGACAGATCTTTAGTATAGGAACCCATTTCTGGTGTACAATGTTGTCTATAGTATCTTCTTCTTAGAATACCCCTGTTGTTATCTAACTTCTCTGCAACAGCTGCTCCATAGATTTCCATGGAAGCAGTGAAAACCACTAGTTCATACCTAAAAGAAGAAAATATTAACACTTAATACTTGTTATTTCTGACATCAAAAGGTATCAATTATGAAGAATTTTAGGTACAAAGTCTGATTTTAAATAGAAATCAAAATACCTTTTGACAATCCAACTTACCATTGACTAACAATATCTAAAAAAAAATCTACATGTGGTCTTTTGTGGACAAAAAATCTGACTGGATGTCTGTCTATTGTCACCTTAAGAATAAAATCTGGTGGTGTACCAAACCTAACTGTTGGCCTTGCCACTCCATCATGATGAGAGTGTATTAATGTTTCATCTAAATCCAATACTAATACTTTCCTCTTAACTATACCTGCAATATACTTTGGTTACATACAAAAAAATAATACTTCTTATTATCACATGCAACATAATTGCTAGAACATCAACAATACTTACTAAGTCTGTGCTTTGACAAAGGAGATAATGGGAAGATCTCATACTTAACAGGTTGCATTTGTGATATCTAAAAAATTAATAAATTATATAAAACCATGGATCATTCATTGGATTTTTATATTACATAGAAGAGCATATCTGTTGTAAATATAAATAAATAAGAACAATGATTAATTAAAATCTACTGACATAAAGCATATTACTATTAATGAAATATTAAACACATAAGTGAAGGATAATTTATTATTTATATCAATTTTTGACAACATTCACACATAAAATATATACAACATAGTATAAAATTTAACATTTATGCTTGTTACTAATTGAAAGCAGCCATAGACAATAATATAAGACATTAAAAACATATGACAGTGGTGTAAAATTTTCAAGATAAAAGGAATGTTAATAATTATATGAGAATGCATAAATTTAAATATCGGAAATAAAAAAAAAAAACAAGAGCGTAATGTGAAAGGAAAGGACTTTCGATCATAAGGTAGAATATTTTAATGCATTCGGCGGTGCATCATAAAACACGTTGTATTGTGACAACACATCGGTGATAAATATTTACTGGAACCGGCAAAAATTGTCTGCAAATGGTAAAACATGGACCGACGTATTTATTGGTTAAATTGACACAATATCAGTGGGATGTTATGTTATAAAAATGGTGAATAAATAAAGAGAAGCGAATAGAGGCGCGAAGGCACCTACTTACGGCTCTAACCTGCTTCTTGAGGAGAAAAAAGACGCATGTCCACACACGGGAGGCCATCAAAAGGAAAGCTCTCATCCCCATCTGCAATTGCTTCAGCATCTCTACTAATCTTCTCACCGGGCCGAAGTCCGGCAACACTTTATCTCCAGTCTCGTCTACGCTAGGGTCTCTTTTCACTTCACGTTGAAGTATTATACAAACTTTTTCGTAAACAAACGTCTCTTACGCGGACAGGAAACATGGAATCTGAATATTCATTAACATTACGAACCGTCCGCGTATAGTAGCGCCGTGCACGTGCAAATAAGCTTTTCCATATCTTGTCATGTTTTGGCAAAATTTACAGGCAAACTCTATGCACGCAATCTTTTTCACACACACCACGCAGTGGCCGCCATCTTTCGCACATCGACCCAATTTTTCCATGCGCTACGTTTAGCGCGCATGATGTTCTCAAAATTCTATTTTACGTGCACTACACGCTCTTTGGATTTTTATCAAATTCATTGCACAAGAGAAATTTTCCAAGACAGAGCGGACAAATCGAACAGAAAATGTTGCACAATGCAACTGGATCAAATTGGTAGGGAGAAGTTTCCCTAATCGCTCGATCGTTCGTAAACGAACCTTCCATTTGAATCAGTATCTTTTTTTCAAGCATTTAACATATACATAGCACACGTATCAGTGAAGCTACATGCTAAAAAAAAAACTACCAATATTTTATGTTCTGCACATTGTGCTCTATCCATCAATGGTATATACAGTTCTTAAGATAATCAGAAACAAGTAGAATGTTATCCTCATTTTTTTCTAAGATAAAAATAAAAATTTTGTGTCGTATTAGTACTGAAGCGTTAAATTCAATTTTTACTATGATCAAAAACCAAACCACGCGGTCGGTTATCTTTTTTCTTCTACGAAGATGGCGTAATAATTTGCCTTCTTATTACTATGTACATTTCTTGATTAAGTTAACTGTACGATGTTACTAAAATTCTCTAGAAATTCGTCAGTTTATTCTGTTATTCACAGTAGTATTAATTAAACAAAACAAATCGTCATTCGATATGAATTTAGAAAAAATGTTACTGTCCGTTTTTTAGCTGATCCTCTTTCTAGATTAACAATGCTTACCGTAAAAGTGAAAATTTAAAAATAACTTTCTCTGGGGTCTGTAAATTGCATTTATATGTATGCATTTAAAGATATACGAACGAAATTATAATTATATTATTGAAGTATTATTGGTTTGCATTTTGAAAATTTCGATTCGTTTGATTGGAGGAAACGTTGCGCGATCCTCCTTTTTTAGCTTAGCGTCCATTTCGACTTACCTGATTGCTCGGTGTTGAACCAATCGGAAATGGACGTTGAAGCAAAAGGAAAGGAAGCGTCGGCATTCTGTGATGTTACTAACTCGCAGATGTAACAACGGTATCAACCTTAAAATCTAGTATGACGTTTATTATACAAGCAGCTGCTTGCGTTATATCAAAATACAGTGCTCTAAGTGATCGGATCGAACGACGAAGTTAAATTTCAATTGAATTAGAAGAAGGGCCATTATTCTTATACTTCTTGAGCATTACCATCAAGCTGTAGGAAGCACAATGACGGATCTAACAGAGCTACGAATGAACGTGGCCGCTCTAAAACGAGTAGACCCCTATGTGAAAGATATACTGGAAACTGCGACGCACGTAGCGCTTTATACTTTTAATGCAGTTAATAACGAGTGGGAAAAAACCGATATTGAAGGTGCTTTATTCGTATACTCGCGAAATGGCGAGCCCTATAACAGTGTTCTTATTATGAATAGGTAATATATATTGTTATGTATACATTTTTCCATTATAGATGTCCGTTTATATTTTCAAGCGTTTTATAGAGGTTACGAAAACCAGTGATTAAATTTATATAACGTTCTATTTATTGGTTGGTATAGTTAGAAGGATATTGTGGTTCAAGAAGCATGGTTTGGTTAAATGCATCGTATTTCTTGTTATTTTGTCACAAAGAAAAAGCTATTTTTAGTTTTTCATTTATGAAACAAGTTGATACGTATGATTTTCTTATAATATTCTGTATAAATTGTGCTATATTTAAAGTATTTCAACACTATATACCATGTGACATTTAAGAATCTTGTTAAAGGTTAATGTTTGCCTTTGTAGAAGATCTGAGTATATATCAAGGGAATTCATTGCATTGTGGTGCTATGAAATTGTACGATATAGAAATGTTCTTCAATTTCTCTCTCAATATCTTTCCAGATTAAATACAAATAACTTAATGGAACCAGTTACACAGGGTTTGGATTTACAGCTCCAAGAACCCTTCTTACTCTATAGAAACTCCAGATGCAATATATATGGCATTTGGTTTTATGATAAAGAAGAGTGCGTACGTATTGGTGCAATGTTAAACAAACTTGTTAAAGATTCAGAAGAGAACCGCAAGGCTTGTAATAAACCCACTGTTAATGTGAAAAAGGAATCTGGCCCTAATGTAAACAGTGTTGATATATTCAGTATGCTTAGCAAAGCACAGGAAGATTTTAATACTAACAGAAATAACAGTAGCAGTGGTGGAGGAAGTACTAGAGATGGGCTTAATTCAAAGTCTCCTTTGGTCACTCCTATAACAGACAACGTATCTGGACCATTAGCTGCTCCATTAGGCCCAGATGTTACTTCACAGAGTGTGATGGATTTTTTTGCAAAGGCAAAAGTTAGTAATTATTGCAGGATCAATGGCATTTATTATTGGTTTGAGATTAAAAATAGGAAATATGTAGATTGTTGCGATCTTTTTAGGTTAATACAGGACATTTTAAAGCTGGTGATCAGCCTACTCCAGGTGGTACTGTTGCTAGTGAAAGTAAACCATTGCTTGCTCGGTTAATGTCACATCCAGCTGCACATACGGTAGAACATATTGAGAAACAGCATAGATCTATAACTCCTCAGCCAGCTACAAGGCAACAGTCTCAAACAACTCCAACTGCTATATTGGGTGCTAATAACGCTGGTAGTAACACAGCTTCGAATAGATCTAAGAGACGAAGCAAGACAACTTCTCAGCAAGATTCAATGATATCTACACCTGCATCTTTGACACAAGAGGCAGCACCAGCTGTGAACGAAAATACTACAGATACAAATGGTACAACAGGATTCCTTAGGATACAATCACCTACAAATGCGACATCTTCAAATTCAACAAATCATCAGGCCTCAGATATTATTGGCTCTAGTAACTCAAATCCACTTGCATCTTTGTTTGCTCATGCATCTGCAGCAACGGTGAGTGGAGCGTGTTTGCTGGTTCATGTTAGGTTGTACGATGATGTTAGATTACGTGAGTTGAAGATCTGAGAATTTTTTTTTAATTCAATTAGGCATCAGAGGATATTACGGCAGCCACTTTATCAGGAAGAGGATCGGCACCGGCATTAATACCCCCTGTTATGTTTGCTGCCCCTAGTCCGCCCGAACCCTTAACCAGACCGTTAGAACCACTGACGAGAAATCAGCTCCTTCAGGCTTTTAATTATCTGTTGAGAAGTGATCCGGATTTTATCAACAAACTTCACGAAGCTTACGTGAAATCATTTGGTGAAATACTGTCCTAAAACTATGACTTGTTAACTGGTATAACTGACAAAAAAAAAAAACCCGTCATGCGGGTTGTGACGGTCGACTGATTATATTAGCATCGAGCGAAACCTAGTATCCCTATGTTACGTGTACATAGACGGAACACAATGTCCTGCTCGAATTTCAATTGAACTTGACTGGTAGCCCAATTTTTTGGGAGGAACAAAAGAAAAAAAAAAAAACATAGATACAAATGAAGATACATACCTTAAGCAGTATTTTTATAAGCTGAATACACTTTTTCCCAAGAAAAGAAGATGAAACGGACAGTGAAAATGCGTAACAAAAGGTATGAGCCGTGTGAAAGCAAAAAGAAAAGAAAAAAAAAATTGTAAAAGGCGAACGCGAGACGAGAAACGTGAAGAAAAGGAACAAAAAAAAGAAAAAAATACAATTGTACGATTTTAAACTGTGATGCCAAAACATTTATATTATACTAACATTTTATGGTTACTATTTCGAAAGGCGAGACGAGACAAATTTTCTGAGCTGATCAAATGGATTACCTATTTTACGGAATAATGACATACCCTTCCTATAATATCGGGTATCGATATGGTATGTGTATGTAATTGATTTAAACGAAAGGAGCAAATAAATAGAGACCGATTACTGAAAAATTATTTCAATGTATTTTATAAGTCGATCATCATTCGTAATCGATTTATCCCTCGTGAGTAACACGTGTTGTAAAACAAAGTCGTGGTACATATGTTTTTAATAATATAATTATCGTACAGTTATGTCATACTATCACAATATAATAATATTTAATATGGAATACGATTAACTAACGTGAGGAGTACATGATGTACCAGAGTTAACTGATTTCCGGAAGAAGGTATCCTACCGCAGATTAAAAAAAAAAAAAAACGAGACAGACTTTCTATTTTCTTTCTTTCTTCTTTTTTTAATAGCGTGTTCTCCATTCGTAGTTTTCCTCGATGGAAGAAATCGTGGTTTGTTCTTCTTGCAGGATTATACGTTGTATCCTCCTCGAGATTATATTGTAACATTACCGTCGATCGTTCGTGGCTAAAAAAATCCGCGTTCGAATGATCGAGGATCGACGATCATTCGGTGGAACGAACGCGATTACAATTTGTACGCCGCCTAGACAAGCGATTATCATCTAAATACACGATAGAAAATACATAATCTATTTACAATGCTACAATAAAGGCGATATCATGCGTTTCGTATTTATTTTTTTCTTTCTTTCTATCTGCTTTCTTTTTCTGTTTTTTTTTTGTCCCTTCTTTTAATTCTCATTTTCTTTCTTCGTTCTATTAACGTCATGTACAAAGGTCCCGGTTCTATCGGCCCCTTTCTCACTCTTCGAATCTCACAAAGTGATCATTCGACATTTTATCGTCGTTAATTACACGGAGGAATATGCAGCAATCGATGCACAACGCGCAATGTTATAATTTACAGCAGTCGCTTTTTTGTTTCACAAAAAATTCACAGCCAAGTGGAGCTATGTAAGCCCGCTAGCTTTTCTAGATAGTCTTACTAAAAAAATGTCTCTAACCGCTAGAACACTTTTTTTCTTCTCTTCGTCGTCATCTTCTTCATTATCGAACGTCTTTGGGATTGGCGAGAGATTAATTAAACGAGAGGCACTTTCGGTGGTCCCAATAGCGGCGGCCCGTTATCTGGCATCCGATGTGGTCCGAGTTTGTCGCTCTGCGCTTGTACAGGCTGTAGCAATCTAATGGCGAGGCTGGCCAGTATCAGTAGAACGATTAGACCGCAAATCGGCACAGCGATCGTGGCCGTCTTGAACCATCCGTCCGTCGACTGACCTCCGTGACTGATCGGCTGCACCGGGCCGAGAAAGGGTCGTTGGTCACCCACCAACACTGTATAGATAAGAGAAAAAGAAAAGAAATTACGTTATACACACCGTAACGCTGTTTGGTGTAAATTACGCAAAAGGTTTCGTTATTCGTAAATTCGCACAACCTTCGACTTTCACTATTGTTTTAAATCAACGATACGAGACTTGGTTGGAGGTTGTGTACACGGTATACAGGACGTTTCATGAAACACCCTGTACATCGAAGACGTAGAAATCATCTTGGGAATATGTGTAAATTTGAACGAGATCCAATTAGAGCAGGGGTTCCCGAAGTGCGGCCCGCGATCTTGAATTTACAGAGATAATTGACATTTTTGCAAAAAAGTAAATAAATTTTATTATATTACAATTGAAAATTGTTCAGTTAGAAAAATGTCTTGTTATTATATAGATTGTATATATGTATTTGATTGAACATTACTACGGTACGAGATGTGATCGGTGTGTTGTAAAAGAATCGATTGGAAAATAAAGAAGCCGAGAGGAGTAGGAAAAGTAAGGTATAGAGAAACCATGAAAATGCCACCGCTCTCTTTCTCTCGAATAGGCATACAGAGCGTGTCCAGCTAAGAAGTCTGTATAATTTTAATGATCTTGCAACGAGAACACATTCGTTTAACCTTGAAGAGTCTTGTTGAGCCTGTTTCTCATGGCTGGGCTATCTACGTGGTTGCAGAGATCCTGCTCGCAACAGAGGTATCCCGTGGGACATTGCCGCTCTTTGAAGTTCTCGTCAAGACAACCGCTGTAAGCGTTATGCTCCGCTCTTAATAACGATGGATTTGCATTGGATGGTAATTCGGTGAAGCAGCCCCGACCGCGGCACATGTATCCTTGGGGCACGCATTCCGGTTGATTGCAATAACACCTCACCTCGCGAACGTACGGAGAATCTGCGAACAGAGAAAAATACACACACACACATCGGGATTAATCGACGTTGGAACGATTTTAAGACGATTAAAAGTGTGTTAACGGCGGGGGAAATTTGACACGAGGACGTTGAGTTAATAATTTCGAAGGAAGTTATACAAGATCGCCTTTTAACGACGAGGAATTGTTGAAACGAGAGGGAGAAGTTGTACGACGGAGGTCAGAGAACTCTCTTCCTAACTGGAATAATACCGAAAGTGCGATAAAACGAGAGAAGGGAAGCTCTCTCTGCTCTTTTCCTTTCTCTCTGCGTTTTTCGATAACGATAGTCGTGATTGATAATAAACGACTCATAGTTGATTAATGATGCAATATCACGGGTGGTCTATATAGAGTATGTAGAAAGGGAGAGCTTCTCCATACTCGTTTCAGCCTCTGGAGCATCTCTCGAAATATAGTAAGATTCGATCGACAAATTCATACGAGTCGAGCTGGTGAACATGCCTGAACCCCGTGGTTCGCTAATTCATTACAGCTCATCTTTATTTATAAGCCTTGTGTTTTCTGCTCTGATAAGACCATTCGAGGATTCTCGCGTACAATTCCACCAACGTAGACCAATTTCACGTTCGGAGAGGTATCGTAAGCATAACACGGCGATAGTTGGCGGCCTCCCCTAATGAGTAGCCCGGCTGAAAGTCATAAAAGATTATACCCTGCTCGTCGCAACAGGTATACAGAGCTAACTTTCATTTACCTGCCGGCTACCAAGCCTTCTCTCCTCGTACACACCGGAACCGTTTACAATTATTTTCTCCGTGTATAGCACAGACCGGTGTGTGGTAACAAAGATCGTGTCGCAGTGGTATTTCAAAGGGAATAGAATAGGAAAAAAATGTATATACGGGGCTTTGAGCGCGAGACGTGTATTTGCCAAACAGAATTTCCCAAAATAAATCGTAAGGAAGAATTTCGTTCGGTATTGAACCGGTGGGTCTGGAAGAGATCCACGTGGAGGAAGAGGCTCGATAGACTGGGACCGTGCTTGACATAGCGTAAATATACATTACACGCAGGGAGAGAGAGTCGAGTTCTCTCTCCGCGGTGTGCTAATGAGGCCCGCCGCGAGATAAACAAAGAGACATGGAGCAGTTCGCGGTGACTAACCATCGTGCCGCTTGTTTATTATGATAATGCGAAGCCATCTTTATCCGTGGCTTTACCCTCTCTCTCTTCGCGTGTTGCGCTTCCCTTCCGAACCGCGACAAACACCACCGTGTGTCTCCTCCATCCGACGAAATAATTCATTAGCACGATCGCACGTACGTGACCCGTTGTCTCGAGGATCGTCGCGGAGAAAAGAACTCGGGGAGAGAGGGAGGACACGTCGTGGACACGTCGTGGAAATGGATCGATGCAAAAATTAGAAATCACCAACTGCGCCGCCGGAGTCTTTCATCGTTGGAACAAAGAACTGTGGTTTTGCAACGATTAGCCGGAGCACAGTTGTTTATTATGGTAATGCCAGGCTGTCTTTATCCACGACATTGCTCTGTCTACCCTTCGAAACCTCTCTCTTCGTCCCTCTCCCCGTTAAACGATCCTTTCTCCCTCGACAGAAGTTCTTACGTTCCCCTCTTTTCTCCTCTGGCTTCTTGCTAATAAGCCTGCAGCGGTTCCCTCCCTCTCTTCCTTCATCTTTCTCCGTTTCGTCCACGAGGCCCGGCTCATCGGGGAATAAAAAACGCTAAAACAGCCGAGTCACAAAAGAAAGATTAAAGTGGAGAGAATATATGGAGAGAGGCATGCGGCGGCTCTCTGCGTTGTGTGCACCGCTGCTGTGCTGCTGCCTCTCGATCTCGGTTGGTCGCCGGCTCTCACGAGACCCTCTGGAGCAACGAGAGAGGAGACCTCGTAAGAGGGTTTTTAGGAGGAACGTCTTCTCGTTGCTCCGCCAGATTACGTAAACTTCTTCTACGTGCTCCGATTAAACGCGAAATCTCCCTTGAATTTTCTTCCGACTAATGAATTTTCGGTACCTTCGAGGTTTTATTTAAAAAGAAGGAAAACAGATCACTCGTCGAAATAATTCTCCAACTTTTCTGCCAGCTTGCGAACAGAAACTTTGAATCACTTGTGCGAATCCAGTCGGGAAGAACTGGTTTCTACACTTAATAAAATTCGTAAATAGACTTATTAAACCAATAGAATCGTAACAGTAAAAAATACTGCAAATTAATGCACATACGCTAAACTCATTATTCCGATAGATTCTCCGAAGGGTTAAAATAATGACGCGTCCGTTAAAGAAATGAAATTTTCCATCTCCGATACGACGCGCATATTTTACCTCGCATTACTCCGGTACTATGCAAGGTAATTCGAAGTTTCTCTAAAAGGTATTTCTTTTTTCGACCGCGAACCGCGATAGGGAGGGAACCGAGAGAGGAGAACGGGGAAAAGGGGAGAGAAAGAGACAGAGAGGAGCGACGGAGAAGGGCATCGTGTGCGTTTAAAATAAAAAGGGAAAAGGGGAAGCAGCGGGAGGTCGAGAAGGCCCGGGCAGAAGAGAGATACGGCCGACATGCCTGGAGCCGAAGAAGACCCGTCCGAAAACAAACAGACTGCTTCGCGGGGTCGTTCGTTATGCGTCCATGGCATATTAATTATTTCCCGACGGGCTCTCCTCCCCTCTACTCCTCTCTCCTCTTCCCAGCCCATATTGCTCGTATTTCTTTCTTTTACATTTTTTCTTCGGTTGCCGAACGATTACAGGTTCGAGAAGCACGTGAATCGATGTTAAGGTCCTTCCGTTCCTTTTATTGCATTATTCCCGCGCATACCATCGTCTACACGGTGTACAAAATCTTCGCGTTGTAATTCCCCAATTTTTTCGTTGCCATTTCGACGGACAATTGGTGGAAAATTCGAAGGGAATTTTCGTTCGGTTCGAAGTTAAGGAGAATTATCGTATAATTCGTATATCGAAAAATAGAGAGAGAGAGAGAGAGAGAGAGAGAGGAGAAGGGGAAAAAATATATAAACGTTGAGATGGCCGCGGGCTAAAAGGTGGACAGGTCTGAGATGCTTGACGAACGTTCTCCTCTGTGTGTTTTGCGCTCGTAAAGCTGTCCGATTTCTTCTCGGCCACGATCGGCGAATTCTTCGTATTCGTATCTCTCTCTCTCTTTCTCTGTGTCTACTCGATAAAAGGTTCCAGAGAGACGCGACTCTACTTACGCGAACAGCGCTGCTTTCAATGAAGCTTAACCTTTAACTTCGCTGACGTTAGATATACGCTGGCTTGCCCGGGACATCGGATATATCTAACGAGATACACGTGCTGTTACTTGTAACTCGCAGATAAGCTTGTTTATTTGTTAATACTACAACGCACAACAGGCTCGAGGGTTCATTTCACTTATCTGGGATTAAATATTCATTTATGTAGACGAACCACCAACCTATACTATCTAGCCACCCCTCTTCCTACCATTTCGTTTCGCCACTCGTTAATTAATCTGATCGTTTTAACCCTTACCTACTTGCTAAACATTCGATCTCGGTTCTTTTGCAATTTTCATTTTCACATTTCCGACCTTCAAACTTTAGCTGCGCATGCATATGATTAATCTTAATTTTTTGCAATTTTCATCTCGACTTTTTCTGCTGCAAGTTAGATCCCTCGACCTTTTGATACCCCTTTGTTCAGGCTTGATAAAGTCATTGTTATTATTATACAATGTCGAATCGTGCACGAAAGTTGGAACGTAGCTTTGGCTACGGCTCGTTAGAATTTCACCGGGCAATAAGAAGCTCTCCAACAGCGAGGGCAAGCTCGATCAACGTGGAATTCAACGAGCAAAAAGATAATCGATACCCGCGTCGATAACGAGTCGCTAAAAGCGCTCTCCACGAAGGGTTACGATTCGTTTATCCAAACGACTCGAGCAACATGCCCGAGGATAGAAAGCCGTGCTCGACGGAAACTTGATTTGAACGAGGCCCGTTGTATATGCAATTAGAAGAGCGACGACCCATGTATATATGTACATGCACGGGTTGCGCTGTAAGTTTCAGCTTATACACAACGTAACGTCGTGGAATGATGAAACTAATGAGTTTCTCTCTGGGTTCCCTCAAGTGTATCCGTAATGCACGTACATTGCGTAACAACGTTGTTCGCTCGTATATACGTGCGCGCATTTATTTAAATCGTCAATTTTATTTTGCTCCAGAAGAACACTACGATAAGGGAGAATCAGATGTACCTACGCGTATGTGTGTGTGGATGCTGCTTAACGACGTTACTCGGCCAATTACGAGGTGAGCTGAATGTCGATAGCGCACGAATATTGGATTTTCTAATTAATAGGGACAACGTTAACGCGTTATGTAACGGCAATTAGTGGTCGTGTACGTCGTGCGTCGATTATCAGAGCCATTCGTTTCGTTTAATCGCTGCCAGGATTTATTTCGCTTGGATCGAGCCTCGCAATGTAATTGACAATTCGCGGTGAGATTCGTGATCTCCGTTTAATGAAAGGAAAATGGGACACGCGTGACTCGATTTCACCACTTTTTTTCCTTCTTCTTCTTCTTTTTCTCTATTTGGCTGATCGCAACACCATTAATTTCTCTCTCTCTCTCTCTCGCCTCTTTTGAAAAAGTGAGAGAGAGAGAGAGAAAGTTTTCGACGATAGTTCGTCGGCAGAGCAATTGTTCATTCTGGTAACCGCGTTACGAGGTAATTGTAAAACACAAAGTGACTCGGCTATCTTAATTCCTAATTAGTAACATCCACCGTTCTAAATTGCCGCAATTAGTATTCCAACGCGTTTTACGCGTTGGTGGTCGGGAGTGTCACCGATGGCAGCGTTTGAATTTCACGGGAGCACCACCGTAACACGTTTGACGAAATCGTTTTACTCGTACCGTATAGGCGGAAAAGAAAGTTGTCGTTGTCACACGGTAACCGTGTGGAGAAAAGAAGAACAAGAGGAGGAGGAAGAAAAAGAAG